AGTATGCCGTTTACCTCAGAACGGTAGGGAACAGCTCAGTCCCAATAAGAAAGATTGTGACCCACATTCCATTTGAAATACCAAACGCTGACACGAAAATCCAAGTTCTTGCAAGCGGTTGATCTYAAAATGATGAAAATTGGATTTATTTGCTAAAGTCTAGTCCCTTTAGATAGTGCTTCAATGCGTGCACCACGTGCGTGTGAATCCTTACCATCCGGTACTGCGAGAGAAGACAAACAAAGAATCCCAACCATACACAGGACAACAGCGTGTGTCAAACGATGGCCAATGCTACAGGGAAAATACGTGTCTTTGTCAAAAAATCGTTGCATAGCAACAAATTAGTAAAGTGTGACTAGTATGGTAGGTATTGCAGGCAGGGATGGATCCAAGATTTTCCGGCTTCAGTGAGGTCTCGGTGAAAAAGAACAGACAAAATAAAGGGGAAGTATTGAGGGGATCGGGGTAGTGCTACCCCTACAACCACCATCACCTAGATACGCTTCACTAAACCCCGGTCCGCACAGAGAGGAAACGGTCACATGGTAGCTCCAAAATACTAGAATAGCCACTGGGATGTTCAAACCAAAGAAAAGCCAATTCCTTTTGTTTTTGAGGTTGTTTACATTCTTTTGACATCAAGTATGGCGGATTTAGTACCATGTGACCGTTTCATGCAAAATGTCTATTCCATCGTTTTCTCTCGAGCATAAGATATAATACTCGGAATTAAATGATGAATGAAAAGTTCCGATACCAAAAAATGTAAAGCTCATGATGGTTTACCGTTTTAGAAGAAATCCCGTTGCTATAGCGCCTATAGGGCAAGCAATATTGACGAGGAAGAAGTTTAGATAGATACTTCCTGCTAGATTTCCAATGTACAGAAAGAAAGCATTGCCAACAAAACTAACCGAAAACCTGGAGAAGAAAATGTTTGAATGAGATTTCTAAGAAATAGAATCTAGTTTTTTAATGTGAAATATCGGTTTAGCTGTCAGTTTATCTGACTTCAGCAGGGGTGGATTCAGAAATTTTCCAGGGGGGGAGGGGGGATTTACTGATCGAAATATATTTCAAAAACACAAACAATATTTTTCTAACTATAAGAAATCTAGATTTAATACCGGGCTTTGAGTGAGAAAAAGAGGGGCGAATTCCCCCCTCCCCCTGAATCCGCCCCTCTTCATATGTGATTGCTATGCCATTTTAAAGGTTCCAAGCGCAATCTTGAACCGTAGCCAGCCATTGCATGGAAACGAGACAGTGGGTGAGATTCCAATGATAGATATTGCTGAATAATTGTCCGCTGAGGTGTGAACAAAGGGAATCTATCACTGCAGGCTCAACCCCTAGATCTCGCTTTAATGCGACTTATTCATTAACTTTTTGTATCTTGTGTTCGTTAGTTTCTAACGGCCATACTTTGATGGAGTCAAAGCTACWCTTTAATCTTACCAGTTTATTGCGAGAAAAATACTTCTTCTTCTGAGTTTTGGCGTGCGAACCAAATCAAGAGGCGTGTAAATTCTTTCTTGTCTCTTCTTTTCTTCGTTAATCTGTGCAATGCTAATATCTTTGATCGCTTTTTTGAGTTGATTTCGATCCAGAGAATCGCTTCCACACTTAACAAGGACATCTTCTGCTTCTTTTAGTCTGTTTTTGCTAAGAAGCCATCGAGGAGACTCGGGAAATATTCTGAAAGTAATAAATATTTTTTGAGAATTGAAGTAGAGCGCTGCATGACGCAAAATAGGAAAACGTCAACTATTGCAAGCAGCAAAGTATATACAACATGTATGATCCTTTAGTATCACAACTTTTCATAATAGAAACGACGCAGAAGCAGCCCGCATTAGGTCTAGTAGTGTCCATATAATCTCTCTATGCAAAAACGCGTTTTTGGGCGATTGGGACGATTTGGACGATTTGTTGGACGTACTATATTGTAGACAAGGGATTCAAATTCAGCAGTGGCAGTTACTCTAATCTTATAAAGCAATGGTTTTGTAAACGTTCTATTTTATAAGTCAAATCATGCACTGTAAAGACGACGAACTCAAAATTGGAAATTGAACCTTTGGTCACTTTGATTCATCATGTTTTGCTATCGTGAATATAAAGATCAAGAACATTTCACTGGTAAAAATCGCGCGCTTTAAAGGTTGTAAACTTGATGTAAATATGATGTAAGTGTCCAAAATTCTGTAAATTTAATGGAAATCATTTACATCAAATTTACAGAATTTTGGACACTTACATCATATTTACATCAAATTTACAACTTTTAAAGCGCGCGATTTTTCCAGTGTTTGGCTTAAGATGAATAAGGGTGAAGTATGTACAAATCAAGTAGAAATCGCTTGCAAACAAAATATGGCTTTACTTCGTCTTGAGTATGATCTATGACTTAAAACTTTTAACCTAACTCATAAAAGACTCACCTCATAAATAAGTATAGTATAATCCCTGGCAAGCTATTCATCAATATAAGTAATCTCCAGTCCCTCACAAAATAAGCGAAAAAGTTGAAGACAAAATACCCGGCAGTAAAATAGATCTGATAAATAACACTATACAAGGATCGATGTTTAGGTCCCAACAGCTCTAGGCCTAAAGTGAAATGCGAMGCTTGGATCCCACCGCTGCCAATACCTATCATGAACCGAAGAACCCCCAGTAGAGAAACACAGTCAGCAAACACTGAACACACTGATGACAGTATCTGTTGACAAAGAAAACCAAGAGCGTTTAGAAAAATAGTAGAGTAGTTTTCAATAAACGGGTTGCAAACAGTTGCACTTCATTAAAAAAGCACCCCCACCCTCTTTTCCCCATTTCTCGTGATCCACCTCTGTACGTGTTCATGTATTTACAGTTTGAGGCAAACCTTTCATACTTGTTAGGCACTACTATGCATTGTAAAGCGCGCGTTACCACAATAAAAACTGTAATAAAGATGGTCCTCCGTCGTCCAATGTAATCAGCCAAGATGCCCGAGGATGTGGCGCCAGCGAGCATCCCTCCGTAAAAGCAGGCTTGAACAGTAGCACCGATGTACGCCTTGTCGCAGATCAAATTAAACTACAAACAGATGACAGATAAATAAATAACTCAACGAGAAAAGCACGAAAACATAAAATATAGTGCATTCATGWTATATCCGCGAAACATTTTAAAAGAAATGGCATAAAATTGTACTAATTAAAGAATGAGAAGACAAAGGATTTCATTCTTATTTGCCTAATTTAGTGTGAAAAATATTTCATCGTTTGAATGAAAGCACTCTACTTTACTAAGAGCTCTACTTAATTATGAAAATTTATCCCTTTTCTATTGTAATAGCTTTGTGTTTAGTTTTTGGTTAGTACCTMTTCACGCTTTAAGGGTTTGCACTCTTCAAAATCAATAGAATGAAGTTTGGCTCGTCCATCTTTTTATTAAATTGCGTTTAAAACAAACACAAGCAAAAACTAAACAACGCATTCAAATCCCAATAGTTATAAGTTGATGGGTTTTCTAACAAAACACTGCTTTGTTCTGAATTAAATGACCAGAAACTGAGCATCATGCACGCTTCGCTTTGGACAAACAGAGACTTTTGTTTATGAGGCCAAATTTGTATTATGATGATGTATATTTTCTAAAGCRAGACCACAATGCACCATTGCTGACCCATCATTGCCGCCATATTGTTGCAGTTTGGGATAGCGTGTGTGAGTAACTAGAGATAGGAAAATACATTAACCGGGAGTATTAATGGGTTTTAATCTGTTATTACCAATCAGAGGTAATCAATATAGCTGTTTTCATTGCAATGATGGTTGTTAGTTAAGTGACAATTATAGAAAAGTTTTAATGATATGTGTCTATAAGTTTTTTTATCATCATTTCAAGCATGCAATAAACTTCTGTAGTATTTTAGGGGCAATATAGCCAGCGTATAGCAGCTCTAGGGGAGGGGGAAGGGGGGAAACGCATGCTAGGTTCAATAAAGACACCCTTTTGGTCTGTTTGCTATGCTTGGTATAAATATACTCATGACACATTTGATTTTCATCGTTGGGCATGGGAAATAATGCTTATTTTCTAAGATTATAGCCGTTCACAAAGTTTTAAAGCAAAATCTAGTGAAGTTATGACCCGGGTTTATGTCGGATTCATTTATGACACAAATGAAAAGGTCAACAACATTATTCCTTGGCAGTTTGGACTGTAAGTCGAGCAAATACATACCTCCGAGACGACGCTACGGAACGGGCCATCAAACACGTAGCTAGTGCAGTTGTTGCAGCATTTGTTGGGAGGACATGTCGAGTTTGTGTCTTCACAGTGGAAGTTGGGTGTACCGTACACAAACAAAAGAGCAGCAAACTGACTCGAGCATAGCATCACCAAGAAACAAGAAGCAAACAACACAATCTTCTGATATCGACCAAACGACTGGACATACTTGAATATATCGTCATATTCGCGAACCTCATCAGTCGCTGCTTGACCTTCTTTGTCCGCCATCATGAAGTTCACCCTAGAAAGTAAAGGGTATCAGAGCGGCAAAATACGAGATCGGATACAAAAACCATCAACTTGGCGCGCAACTTTGTTTCTGTTCAAGTTTATTCGATATTTCTCGATCGTTTTTCATCGCGCGCGATCAACTTGGCGCGCAACAATATGTTCTGTTGCGAGTTGAGGAAATCTCGCACACTGAGTTGATTTGTTACATGCAATTAAGTTTCAATCTCGATGAAATACGAGAAACAAAGCCAAAAATTGTATCTGGAAGTACTTTGCGAAACAACTTTCTTCAACTCTCAACATCGTAGTGATAAACATAACTGCACGCAACACACATCGCTAAAGCTCAGGATATTTGTTACTCAATTTARCTCGAGGCTGATGTCTCTTTGTTCTTTTCTCTTTCGAAGAAAAGCCAAATGTTTACCTTGTATGCCCTGTCGCATATAAACGGGAATGCCCGCCAACTTAGATCCGTATGATTAGTYTTACTGATATGATTTTTTTATCCGTATCTTAATTTGCCCGGCAAACAATCGAATAGTACTTAACCTTGAGCCGTTTCATGTTGCACGGTTTTTTTTTATTTGAATATTTTAGGCCGAAGTTTGAAGTTCTTTTGCTTGGGTTATTGTCTCCTTCAAGTCAAGTTTAGTGAAAGTCCTTACTTGTTTAATTGATGTTCTCATTTTCACCACTCGTCAAGCACTCTATTAAATTGAAATCGTAAAGTAAAGGACGGGATCGAGAGTTTCATTTCCCATCACGATATGCTTGCAGGATCTTTTTTTTTGCCGCCCTTGGCATGGTGATCACTTCGTGATTTGTTTTCGTGGACTTTGCACCTCGAAGTGCTTTGATCAAACAGTTATAATTCAAACACAATTTAACACTGTAAAAAACATACTATTGTTTTAGACACCAGTATTTCGTTGGATTAAAACAAGATGAAAGAAATTGAGTTTATAAAATGACAAATAAGAAAAGAGAAACCAATAAAAAAAACAAGGTTGACAAGGAAATACTTAAAATGAAACAATCAGTTAAAAGAATTAAAAAAAGCGTTCATTGCGAGATTTAATTAAGACCTTTGGTAATGCTTCACCGGCCGATTAATTATGGAGATTGACATGATTGTCTAAGAATTGTCGGTATTTTGTTACTAAGGAAGCCCGAGTGAATGATGCCTCGAGTCATCATAATGAGAACTAGTCGCTAATAGAGCGTGAAGTCGGGCTAGCTATTTTTGAAAATTGAGAAAGACAGGATATTATATATAACACTATTTAACAAATAAATAAGGCTCAGCCGGGCTGAGGCTTATTTATTTGTTTTATTACATAGATTTTGAACAAAACTTCATCAAAAATCCATTTTGTTGCDTTTTTCAAAAATCGCTCGCGCACAATCGTGGTTTATACTCTCATAAACCACACTTTTTTGGCCAATCAGAGCGCGCGTTAGAATTKATCTGTATCATAAATATATATAATTTTATAACAAGAGCGAAGCTCAAGTTTAACAAACTTGGTAAAAACGAGAAAAAAAACGACACAAAACACTGAAATATTGAAAATTAGATATCCTTAGAATTAGTACGAGTTGATAATACCCTCGAGAAAGATATCAGGTATCCTAAAATATTTTTTTTACCGTGTCCAGGCCAAAGGCCTGAGGCACGGTTATAAAAAATGCAGCGACAGTATTATTTTATTTATTATTATTTTTTTTTTTTTTTGCCACGTCGCCCAAGCAACACATAATCTAAGGGGCCCATGTTCGATTCGACTTGAGCACGTCTGAAAAGTTCTTTCTTTTTTCTTTCTTTCTTTCTTTTTAACTGAAATAAAGTTGTTATTGTCATGTTGTTGTTGTTTTGTAGATATTCGTTTAATAATTATTTTCGAGACGACGGTATTTTCTTTTTACGGCTTGCCCGACTAATGACCCTTTCTTTCACATCTGGCAGTGATTTGTCAGATTTGTGGTCACAGCAGTGTAGAGGTAAATTTACTAGCGAATAAGCATCCGGTGGTATCGAATAACACTATGATTTTCCCTCCAAATGTTACCCGGACTCTTTAGTATAAAATGAAGGAAATCATCAGCAATAGGCGATTTGCATTATGGCGTCATTTACTACAACTACCAGAATGCTTTGCCCACTTTCTTTTGTAATGCAATTAGTGCCAATTGTTTTACTAATCGCTAAGGGGATTAAAAATCTGAATAACAAAGKAAATGRGCAAGGCTTTCTHGTAGTTGTAGTAAAGTTACGCCATCATGCAAATGGCCTATTCACTGAGTATCGCGTACAGCCTCCGACGCCTACTTTCCACTCTTCGGCTTCCTGTTTTGTTCAATTATCACCGAGGGAAACTGATAACCACTCGGCCAAGAGGATACCAGAGGAATCCCAAAAGAACAAAATAACTTGAGATGAACTGAGGCTATAGTGTGTGTACAGTGATGTTCATTATCCTTGAATCAGAAGTAACCAGCTTATCAATCATTGATAAGTCATTCAGCTGAAAAATTTCATGTTCGATTTCATGAAAAAAGTAATTAAAAAGTTGGTAATTTCTGATTCTGATGTGATGAGCAAGAACGGCTGCAGCAAAGGTTAGTCATGCAAAACCTTAAAGTCAAAGGCTCAACTTAGGACTTGGTGACATAATGTTTACTTCATTTTAGTTATTACTGATATATATTTTACAGTACAAGGCGCACTTTACGTGATGGTTCAAACACTTGAACATCGAGACTCAACTGGCATATCTAACAATGACTTTGAAACGGATTTCTCGGAGCCATCTTGGTCTTCATCTTTTTCCTGTTCACCAGGCCTTCTRCCTTTCCTAAAACAAGGCATGTAGTAAAATTCTGMTGCGTTTTCTTCTTCCTCGATGGTTTGGTGCATTTTAGAATGGCTCGCTTCTGGTAACCATAGTGTTGCTATGCATGTTGCGATGGCAACGGCGCCGAAGATGGTCATGGGTAGAGTTATGGTGAGACCTGGAAGCTGGCCCTGAATAAAAAAATAACTTTAATTAGTTTTAAGGGTTGCCTGTGCTTTATCTGGGTGCATGGCTCATTTTCATTACAATACGGAAGCCATCTTGTCGCGGCTATCCTATATATAAGACCTGATAATAATGCCCATGCATCCTTTCGCCGTAAGCGACTGTTAACGTACCAGTATTGCTACGTAGGGAGCCAAAATGCCGCCAGCACGACCAACTGTGTATCCAGTGCCTACCGCTGTACTCCTGTATAAACACATAAAAAAACATCAAACTGAACAATAAGGATGCTATAACTATGAAACGGTTATAAAAAGTCTATTTTCTTTGCTACTCTTACTATATAAACTCACACTATACCTATTTCCATCTCTTTACTCCGACGAAGGATTAACGTCCGAAACGTCAGTAAGTTATTTCACATACTTTTTTACGGTGTTAAATTTATCTTTTTTATACAACTGTTTCTTTAGAAACACCGACGCAGCTCACACTAGTTTACCGCTAGTTCCCACCATAAAAAGTTATGACAATGACTCTATGATAATAATTAACTTCAAGACTACCGTAGTAATAACATGACGATTATGATGTCATGAATATTATGGCGTCATGGTGACGTCATCATTATGCTGTCGATAGTGATGTCATGATAAGAATGGTATACGTGATTATGCCATGACTATTGTGATGTCAAGGTAATGTCATTACGACAATGTGTCTGACTTACGACGTTATAATGACGTCATGAAGTCATAATGAAGTCATGATGAAAATTATGATGACGTCGTGTTAATAGTATAGGAAATCACACGACCTCGGGCTCGTGCAATTACGAAGAACTTTCAAAACATTACTCGCAAAACATTACGAGTGTCTATTAATTCCAAATTGTACGAGAGGCTGTGCGATTTTTTGTTTATAGTACATTCAGCGAAAAAAATGTTATAAGGAGCTGCAATTAACGCAGTAATTGTACTCCTTTCGACCAATGAAAAAGTAATATTTTGTTGAATGTACTCTAAACGAATGATCTTTTGGTTTACTAAGTATGCCGTTTACCTCAGAACGGTAGGGAACAGCTCAGTCCCAATAAGAAAGATTGTGACCCACATTCCATTTGAAATACCAAATGCTGACACGAAAATCCAAGTTCTTGCAAGCYGTTGATCTAAAAATGATGAGAATTGGATTTAATTGCTTGAGATTTAGTCCATTTCTGAAAAKGTGCTTCCATACGTGCACCACACGCGTGTGAATCCTTACCATCCGGTACTGCGAGAGAAGACAAACAAAGAATCCCAACCATACACAGGACAACAGCGTGTGTCAAACGATGGCCAATGCTACAGGAAAATAAAGATTTAGCATTAAACTTCTGGAATTTGTACGTTCCTGTTTTCTCGTCTTTCGATTTTCTTTATCCCATTCAGTCATTTCTGTTACACCTTTGAAACAAATCGTTTACAAGGCAGTTAATTAGTTAGAGCCCATGCGAGAAGGGCAACAATACCAAAACCCAAACAAGTGCCGTGAATATGACATATAATCAGAACATAACCATAATTCCATTGTTTTTTCTTATCTATATTTGACGTTTTCACCTCGACTATAGTATCTTTATACACGGGAATCTAATCTATTTAAAACTAATGGTGATTTACCGTTTTAGAAGAAACCCCGTTAAGAGAACGCCAACAGGACAAGAAGCATTGACAATCAAGAAGTTTATATAGATATCTCCTGCTAAATTCCCAATGTACACAAAAAAAGCATTACCAATGAAACTAACAGCAAACCTGAAAGAAAACGCTCGAATGAGAATATCACCTAGTGCTAGCTGTGCTGGCTGACGTACAAATGGAGGAGGGAGGGGGGAAGGAGGGGGCGTTTTTCATAATGCGGACCAAAATTAAATATTTAGCTAAATTAGTGAACTGCCTGCTAGAATAAGCAGTTTATGACAAAATTTCACAAACAGTTCGTAACAAAAGAATCTTAAAGTAGAACAATAAAAGAAGAGAAAAACCGGACCTTTTATGCTCGGGTCGGACTCCCTTACCAGTTGAACGCGAGTAAACCGCTTCTTCTCCTGAGTTTTGGCGTACGAACCAAGTCAAGAGGGGTGTACATTTTCTCTTGTTTAATCTTTTCCTCGCTAAACTGTGCATTYCTGATATCTTTGATCGCTTTTTTGAGTTMATTTCGGTCCAAAGAATCGCGTCCACATTTAGCAAGAATCGTTTCTGCTTCATTAAGTCTGTTTTTGCTAAGAAGCCATCGAGGAGACTCGGGAAACACTCTGAAAGTTTTATATATTATGTTTAGTAAAATACAATTGCATTGGAACGCTGCATGTGGCTTCAATAAGGCAGCGTAATAGGCCAAAAACTACGACTAATACCCTCATTCACCTTGAAAACAAGGACAACTCACGTACCTTAGAAAAAGATAAAGTATAATCCCTGGCACGCTACTCATCAATATAAGTGATCTCCAGTCCCTCACGAAATAAGCGAAGAGGTTGAATACAAAGAACCCAGAAATAAAGTATACTTGATAAAGAGCACTACACAAAGATCGATGTTTAGGTCCCACCATCTCTAGAACCAACGTGAAATGCGAGGCTTGAATCCCTCCGCCGCCAAAACCCAACATGAATCGAAATACCCCTAGTAGAGAGACACAGTCAGCAAACACTGAACACACTGATGACAGTATCTGTTGACAAAGAAAACCAAGAGCGTTTAGAAAAATAGTGGAGTA